GACAGTCCAGTTGTCCAGAGATGGGTATAAGTCCAGAAGCGGTCATCCTTTGGATGTACATAGGATGCCATCGCCATAGATTTATAACTTCTCATGCATTCTGAGCTTTATCCGAGCAGAATTTCCCTACATCGAACACTCAATTATTTCCCTTCTTTTGAATGAAGGCTTTATAGAACGGCGTTACGCGCATCCGATCATGGGATTTATTTTGTTCTTTTTTTTCTTCTTGAAATCTTCCATCTTAGGTCGAAATCCAGTCACTTCAATCAATATATATATAGTGTGACATTATACTTTGACCAGTGCATGATTTCATTTAGAGTTCGACATTAGGAACGAAATGATGTGTCACTACTCCATTTTTGGACATCCATTGGACGTTCAGCAAAGGAACTTCCAAGGACATCCTCTCACGGTCTACCCATGGATGTCCTTGGACGGAGTCCCCGCCACGTAGAGGCCCTCCATCTAGCAGTTCATTCAATAAACATGAAGTCCTCACAATATAAGCGAGGTGGCAATGAAACCATTACTGTATGTCTCCTAATTTCTTTAATGCTAATGTTATGCGGAAGCTCTCATTCTCTACTCGATAATTTCCCATGTACAAGCCTAAGGAAGGAAGTCATTCCAATTAGTTCATTTGTTGAGAGACGTAACATAGCTCAAGAAGACTCCAGGGAATTCTTGCACATTGCATGGTGAGAGAGAGAGTGGTTCCCCTTACCAAGAAAGTCTTTTCCTTTTTTTTGCGGGTCATGTCGTCTTTGGAATTGATAAACTGTCTCTTGATTGGAGAGATAAAGATGGGAAGTCGAGAGTTACGTCTCAATAATATCTTCCTTTCCATATTGACGCTTCTTTTCTAGTTCCTCCCAGGAATGTGAGTGGGCGAGATCGTTAAGTACAGAAAGTAGTCCTCTCCCATGCTTAGAATATCTATTAACATGCTAATTTCACTCCGTTGCTACCCGGGGATTATTAATGCTGCATCCCTCAACGGTCATCCAATAGCTTTCCCATAGGGAATCTCCAATGGATCCAAAAAAAAAAGGACATCCAATAGGCCATCCAATGGGCATGTCCAAGGATTATCCTTAGACAAGACATTTAGTCATCCAGTGGATGTCCGAGGAGGATATACATTGGATGTCCAAGTGTCCATGAGGGTACGTCCAATGGATTTCTTTTGGATCAAAATTGCTACTTCGGTTTTTAAAAGCGTTTACCTCCCCACTCCCACAAACTGTGGGTTATGATCGAAAGAATCAGGTTGCGGATACAAGCTACCGAATGAGGTTCTCTCGCTGGGAGGCCGGTGTCACGCCGAGTGAGAGGATGGTAAGTGCCAACATCCATGAGAACCTCCAGGTCGAGCAGCTACTATTGAATTAGGATGAACGGTTTTGAAAATGTATGTAGGGTAAAACTACTAATGTTCGGACAGTTAAGCTGGCCGAGCCTCATCATTCGCTCGTCCCATCTCAACGGTACAAGCTGGAAGCTTCATTTTTTTTTGCTCCTGGAAGCACGACACTAGGAGGTCTGAGTGCTATAAAGATGTTTTCCTTCCTACCCTTATGACAACCGATATTGCCTATAATGTGAATGTCCGAACTTAGATGCGGAAAAAATTAAGTTCGGACACTTTCACCTTGGTTCGGTTTCACCCCCGTTTTCAAGTCTCAAAGAGGCTTGAAACACTTCATTTTGATGTGAAGGAATAATAACCCGCTCCCAAAGTGTTGGATATTTCCTCTATTTTCTAGTATAGGATGATCGTGATTGAATCAGCGATTGACTTTAATCCTAACCATGTTTCAGATGAGATTGAAAGTTCCAACTTGGTAGGTCTACACGAATAACTCTGATGATGCGGATTTCAGGTACTTGTATTTGGGAGAGATGTATCTCCATAAATTTCTTGCTCAAATGAAACGGAGAGACATAGAAGCTGAAACTTGGTGCATCTGTACCTATTGAGGAGCAGATTTCCCTGGGGGAAAAACTACTTTTAGGATACGTTCCCAGGGTATATTTTTGGGGTGGACCTTTCCCCCCAAAAAATTTAATTCCAGGGAATCATGGAGACGAAAGGGTGAAACCTCACTGATTAGGTACATGCTGGTAAGCAGTAATAAGGGGAAATCCTGCTTCTAGGAGACATCATTTGGGGGGAGCCATATTTTAAAATATGTTTTGCTACATTGAATCGGGCGGTGAAGGATATAGAAACCTGGAATTTCGTACGTAGGTTGCTCTCCAGTCGCTAATTTCTGGAAAAATCCTACTCTTGCGGATAATCCCTTGGGTGTACATTATTCATTAGGGTCATGTTGTCGGAAATTATTTTTAAGCAGAACGGACTGGCAGAGTTTATATTCAGCAGACAAGTATTTCTCTGCATGCTTAATTCAGAAAACATCCAACTCCAGGAACACATCCCCACTCCGAATTTGGAGGTACAACTCCTGGAAGAAAATGTATTCAGCAGACGTGTTCATCGTATGCAATGTTGGCCATCCTCAAGGACATCTCACTCGAATTAAAGCCCTGATGGCCTTTTCAACACCCTCGAATCGATAATCCCTTGCATCACAACCTCCTACCTTTTCTTCGGAGGCACGCCGCACACTTGGGTGTGCGAATAAATATATGAAGCTGCATTTTTTCATATGTACTCGACGGTGTCCAAAGTTACACGTCCCGTTATTAAAGCTCGGACAGAGCTCAAAAATACATGCTCTCTTAAAAGCATGACTCAACTGAGCTTTTGTCAACTCTAAACGTTCTTTATCTCAAGAGGACGTCATATTTCCGCAAATATGACACACATGAACGCATGTCCGAACTTAAGTTTCTCAAACATTTCTTGACCTAAGTTCGGACACACTGAAAGTAAGACAATAATCTGATCAATGTAAGAGTATTCTGCGTAACAGGACTCCACGTCCTCCTAGTTTCCTGGGAAGTAAGATTTGAGCACAGAAAAAAAAATTCACGTGAGAAACATTTTAAAAGTAAGGTTCTCTCCTTACGGTTTCTTAAAGAATTCCTCCTGTTCACGATATCGCATTAGCCTAAGCCCAATATATTGGAATCGTGCAAAGTCATGACCATCGCTTTTCCTTCGCTCAGTAACGTGTTCATCTCATGTTAGGAAGAACCATTTCTGAAGGCGGCCCCGCGAATGCTTAGTTTTGTAACAATGTTTGCAGCAGTGTCCGAACTTAGGTTCTATCCGATCTTAGGTGATTTTACCCTACGTATGCATTTTTAAAGGAACTAAAACAAAGAAAAATTTTTCCAGCTTTTTAAATGACTTCAAAGTAGTTTTTCTTTCAAGGAATCGCTTCCATCTTATGTTCTTGCATATTTTGATAAAGAAGTTTGAGCTTAAGCCAATACAGAACACACCGACACCATGGAATACACTTGCAGCAAGAAGGAACTAAGTTATTCACTCATGAATGGTTGGACTCTCATTACCCTATGAGCATTCTCACAGGTGAGCATTTTAAAATGAAATTAAGCTTTCTAGTAAGGGTCAGCTGTCATTTAAAAAATATAAATATTTTGTACCATCAACTTGTCCCTGTTAAGATTGGGGTTAGGAAGCACTCCTAAGATGGTTACTCAAACACAATCATAGAAATAGCTGTAATTTGACGGTGACAATGGCAATACTTAAGAATGGATAAACTTTTCCATCAAACTGAGTCATGGGGATGTTTTCAAATACAAAACCAACGTTCTTGAAGAGGGATTTTTAAATACTATGAATACTTGCAGTTATGCATAACTTTCAGAGCAAAGACCTGTGACCCTGCGAGCTGCGACTTCTAAGTTCCAAGATTTCGAAGATGAAGTGAACACAACAAAAGAATCTGTAGAGTATAAGATATAGGTGAACTTTGCTTTATTCCATTTTTCAATCCTCAACTGGTCAAACGAGTGATGCATACTCGTGACATACGGTCCTATCGCCAAAACTTGGGGCCAGGGCATGTTTGGTTTAGTTTTCTTTTTGTAGTTTTTTATATTCTTTTTTCAACATAAAAAAAAATCAAAAAATTTTCCTTCTCAACAAAACAAAAAAGACAAAACTCCCAACAGCTGCATGGACCTGCATTTACTCAAAAAGCATTTTTGCATCTTCAATTAGTCCATTTGGCAGGGAAGATGAGATGGGAACAAAATGAGGAACAAACCCTGGCATCACAGTGATACAATCTCGCTACACATATATTTTTTCCTCCATCAAATACAAAAAAAATAGTAACATGCACAGTGTGTGACTTGAATATCACTTTAGTCTTCATGTGCAAGGAGAGCATTTTTTTTTAACCAGAAGAACAGAAAGAACCAGGAAGAGTAGGAGAACTCATGGAGACAGATGAAGAGGATGCCTTGATTGGAAAATATAAAATGGAGGTGAATTTTCCACCTGAAAAACAGGAGGTTCTTAAAAGAAATCAATGTAATACACAGACTGAAGGGAGATGAATAGATGAATGGGACCCCCTCCAAAAAAAAAGAGGGAGGCAGGTTTTCCTGGATGAACTGAGGGGGGAAGAGATATAAGTTTGATGGAATTGTCATCTGGACATAAATCACTGGTTTTCAATTGGAAGTCCAAATTCTCTTTCTTTGTCTTCTCCTTTGTTTCACATGAAGTGTTTTCTTCCATAACTCTTAGACCTCTGCCTGGATTTGAAATCTCATCTGAGAAAGCAGACACACCATTTTCACACATACACTCACACACTCATGTTCTCACAAGCATATGCACTCGTTCCCTTCTCACACTCATCCAATAGAGCTCTTTATGCTTTTGCTTCACCTCTCCTTGTCTGACTTCCCAACAAAAACCAACAAATATAGCATGACTCTGAAAGAGATAGAGAGACAGAGCATGGAGAGGGTGAAAAAGACAAAGAGGGAGAAGATATAGCGTGAGTGATGGCAGCTTTCCCTTCTTTTTGTATCAGTTGCCTTCACACATGATGATACACAGTGATAGAGGGCTCTGGTGATGATGATGACGATGATGGCAATGCTGCCTGAGCTTTGGCATACTCTCCCTCCACCTGACTCCAGCCTGTTAAAAAACAAATTAACCAAACCTATACTACAATACTGCCAAAATCCAGCCTTCCATTCTTGGAACAAACAAGGTCCATGAAACAACTTTCAAATAAAAGTTACATTTTCTTAACAATGTTGCTCTTCCTAACAATGAGTATAGCTATTGAGTTCATAAAAGAATCTTGAAAGCAATTATCCCAGGGAGCAAAGTTGTAAGGAAAACTGAGCTCCAATTTGCAGAGCGATAAGTACTTTCAGGTTACAGGTTACTTTTGCAGTCACATACTGGGCAAGTTCTGCAATATGCCAAACTAGAATGGCTGCTAATCACTTAAATAACTAATAGATGAATTCAGAAGCCAAACAATATATCTTAATCTTAATCTAACTTTATTCAAGCTCTTACTTCCCTCTTTTAATGTGCCCTGTGAAAAATGAACCAACCTTAAATTTAATTTTTTGCAGTCATTGCTGTCCTGCACTACCCTATACACATTAGGAATTTGATAGACTAAAGAGGAGGAATATTTTGCAGCAGAAATTAATGACAAGAGTAGGGGGAAGTTCATTGGTTTTTGTTGGTATCCACTATCAGTGTCAATGGTGAAAGGAAAAAAAAGAAGACTATCACAAGTAGGGCACATAGAACCTCTTCCTCCCCCAACTCTCATGCTCTCTTCCTTTCTTATTTCCTTCCTTCTCCTTCACAATTACAGGATGGTTAAAAAGTTCGTTGACTTTAGGTTTTTTAATTTTCCTCAAGCACAAGCAAGTTTTGCACAAACAAATTGAACAGACGCAGCAACAAACAACGTCTTTAGACATCCATGTACTACTTTTCACTCAATATGGCCCCCTTTAAATCAGACACAGGCACTCAATCTCCCAGGGAATGCATCCACTGCAGCACACAGCACATCCTGTGGGATCTTCTCCCATTCCTTCTTAAGGACACGCTTCAGAGATGCGACGTTGTCATAGGACCTGCAGCACACCTTGGTCTCTATTATAGAATGCCCCAGATGGCGTAGTCCAGAGGGCTGAGGTCTGGGGAGTATGACGGCCATTCGTCAACAGTGATTAGGTCGGGAAATTGGTCGCTGCACCATTTCTGAACATGACAAGCTTTGTGGGACAGCGCAGAATCTTGTTGAGAGATCCATTCTCTGCCATGGAAGTGTCTCTCAGCCCAAGGCTTTACGACGGCCTGGAGCACGTCGCGCTTGTAGACCTCAGCATTGATTTTCACCCCCTGATCAATGAAAATCAATGGTGTTCGTCCATTGGCAGTGATCCCGGCCCAAACCATCACGCCAGCAGCCTTCTGCTTTCGAGTCATGATTCGATCACTTGGAGATTGAGTAGATGGGTCAGCAGACCAATTCCGATTGTTTTGGCAATTTAAAGCGTGCTCGATGGTGAACAACTTCTCATCAGAAAACAGGACGAGTCTGTGTTTTTTGCCTGTGAGCCAGCGTTTCAGATTTTTGCATCTGATAACCCTGTTCTTCTTAGCGGTTTCGTTGAGGAACTGCAGTTTTCTTCATCTTGTAAGGATGGGCCTTGATGACATTTTTCAAGATGTTCATCGTCGAGGATCTGCTGATTCCAAGCTCAGTGGCTAATTTTCGCATCAACCTTTGGGGATTCCGACAAATTCGATCCCGAACTCTTTTGATGCTGTGGGGGGTTACAGCAGTGCGTGGTCGACCAGATCTCAGTCTGTCATCTATGTTCTGAGTCTCTTGAAACCGCTCGACTGTTTTGGAGACCAGCTGCTTTGATACTGGACGAGGCAAGCAACCGAACAATGTCACAATTCTGATGACTGGCCTGATGGAGCTCAATTATGGCAGCTCTAAATGTTTTCATGCTCAAATATAAAGTTATACGATCTCATTAGGACTTTTTGGTGATAATTTGGTTTTCATAACACCTAAGCAGATACACAAAACAAGACATAGTGGCAGTAACACTTTATTTGACTTTATCAGAGCGCATCAAAAAAAGTCAACAAACTTTTTAACCACCCTGTACAAGAGCTCACCCTGATCACTCAACAGATTGTCTAATAGACCTCACTGTTTTGATTGAGACTGAATAAACTGAAGCAGAGTTCTTCCACAAAGAAGTGTTTTCTCATAGTCTACAAATGAGTAGTGTTTCTCATAAACATCAATATAAAATCCACATGTGGTTCAAGAAAGGAAGGACCCCAACACACATTTGATGGAAAAACCTCTCCACTTCAGCTTGCATGTAAGTATGCTAAGAATCAAAATGAAATGATCTGATCAAACATTCATTGGTGTGTTGGAACCCTGACATCCCATGCTTATACCAGTTCAGCTATGGTTGCAGGGAGCCTTAGCTGATTCAAATGAACAGCATCTCAAAGCATTTCAAGCAAAGGATTACAGAGAGGGGGGAGGCAGCAGAGGAAAATAATTCTCAGTTCTGCAGGGGTAAAACTCCATCTCACTTCCCCACACCCTCTTCATGCCTGCATATTGGCAGACCAACTATTCCTGATACAAACATCTGCTGTAATAACTACCGTGATAATCTACATCAACATTATAGTAAGCAGTTGACTGAATCATCTATGAAAGAGAGATCATATGAAGGTGAGAGTAGTCTCATATTAACAGTCACAGTCTGTAGGCTTGTACAAAAATATAAGCTAAATGCTTTATTAATTAAAAAGTTAAATAGTTTTTCCTGATGCTACTTTGATGCCCTTTCATGGATTGGACTTCACAGTCTCTTGGATCTCAAAGATGCCCTTTACATCTGATTATTAATTGTATTTTCTCTTACTGATGATTTGATAGGGTGTCCTTGCTCTCCTCAAAAATGCTATTCAATTTCAAATATGAAAAGCCTGAGAGAGGATATACAGGGTGGGCCAAAAAAAACAAAGCTGACATTTTTGGCAAGTCATCAATCTCATTGTAGAAAGCAGATTCTGATTAAATTTGGTAGGCTTACAGGGTGACACAATTGGAGTTTTTATGCCGAATTTCAGCTTTCTGGTTCTAAAACTAAAAAAAAGGAGCTGTAATTATTTTCTGATGACCCATGACAAAATGTGCTGTTGAATATATCAGTATGAACTTGAGGCAGGGATGAAAGGGAGGACCGAATTCATGGCCTTCCATTCATGCATGAAGCTATAGAGGAAGATTGGGAGGCACTGCCTTAAAGATTTATTGACTGCACCATTCATCTGTGGCATGCCAGACAAGAGGCTTGTGTTCAACAGAATGGAGGGTAAACTGAGCACTTTTTCATTGAAATTAACTAAATTGTGTGCTTTCATTTTGACATTTGCACATTGTTTTTGTTCTGTTTGTTTGCTTGTTTGTTTTTTGTCAGTTGTGATAAATTTTAAGTTGAAAGAAAAAATGAACACTTACTTTTTGGTGATGAAAAGTAAATTAAATGCTAATCTCACAGTTTTCAGAATATTTATTTGAAACTCAGCACACAAACCATAATTGAGTCATCCTATGTGCCCACCAAATTTAATCAGAACCAGCAGCATAAAATCAGATTGACAACTCACCAAAAATGATAGCTTTGTTTTTTCGGCCCACCCTGTGGGTGCATGTACATAAATAGCCATGGGTGGCCCCAGAAAAAGTTCATAAATCTGACATTCCTACAGATACATTGTATGGAACATGGGCTGAAAATTTGCAAGGTTTTACTTCCAACATGTGAGATGATTTCACAAAGATTTCAGTGCAAAAATGATTGTTCAGGCAATGAGTTTTAACTTTTTTTCCGTGCCATGTCAAATTAGCAAGTGTAGGAGGTTTAAAAAATAGCATGGAACATTTGTAAAATTTATATTCACTCTTCAAATTGTCTAAGACATCAAGTTCCCTCTCTTTGATTTGCTATATATGCATGCAGACACAAATAACACATTGTAAAGAAATCATCTGACAGTCATTAACCATCAGAAACCTATAGAATGACTTATTCAATTGAGCACTGTTCCTGATGAAATGAAGCAAGATAGTATCAGTAGCCTAATTAAAAGTCAGGAATTATTTTTTTCTAATGCAGTTTTGGCCAACATTCACATTGCCATGCACAGTGTACATAATATTGTTCACTTGTCCCATAGTACTTACCTTTGCTACCAAATATTTGGGATATTCATCTGATAAAGGTTTAGAAAAAGTTCATATTGTAGGTGAGGAAAACTCATGAAATTAGTGGCTCCAAAAGGAATCCCTGAACAAAAAAAAGGTTACAACTTGGAAACGGAAAAAGAAGTACAAAACATAGTTATATAACTAATGTAACTAATAACATAGTTATGTAATTAATAATTTGGAGAAAAGAATTTCAAGGGATGAAAAATCATACTGGTTGTAACTTGGAATAGCCAGAGAGAGCTCACTTTGCCGGAGGAAGCTGAGGACACTGTCCAGATTGAAGCTAGGCACATCAGTGGTAGGCGGTGGGAGGAATGCCCACTGGATCTCAGTCATGTCACCCTCATCTGGTCCAGGTACCAGATGAGAGGAGCTATCACACTTTTTCAAGAGTTCCTCATTCACTTCAAACCCAAACGTCAAGTCAGGAACTCCACTCATGGCATTGTTCATATCCATCCCCACAATGATGACAGGTGGGACGGGAGTATCAGGGACATCCTCATGAGGCTGAGTTGATGTTGGAGCTGAGTCACTCTCACTGGAGCTCTCCCGCCGTTCTGTCTGTGTCGTACCGTCACTCATCATTGACCTCAGGATCATCTTCCCAACCCCGTGGTCATTATCATTTCTAGCTATTGCACTCAAAGGTTGGGGATTTGGGTGGGGCTTGCCATTCTTACTCCAGCCTACAAGCCCACTCACTTCATCCAGACTAGGATACTCTTCTTGAAGGAAATTCACCTCAGGTGGGGACTTGGATGTGGCCATCATGTGGGCCGGTAATATCACCTGATCTGGCTGAGGCGAAATCAAGGATGAATTGAGCAGCAACAGCCTCCCATGTGAGGTGAGGCTGTCATTAAGAGTGCAAGTAGAAACATCTTTCCGCGAAACCACAGCTGACACCGTTGTACGCACTGATGGCGGGCTCGTTAATGATGGTTTCTTCATTCGAGCTGCAATGTCTGCATATGTAGACCCATTGGGGTTCACAGAAATAGAGTGCACACTTTCAACATCACTAGAGTCTGAGTGCTCTGATGGTGGGACACTGGATGTGACCATCTTGACTGGGCGTGGCAGATTGCAATGGTGGGATATGGCCAGGTCATAAACATCTCGAGGGTGATTCATCACTCTTGGTTCCTCCCAGCCATGGGAGTAGTTGTTGTAATAATGAGACTGAGAACGGTTAGAACCAGTGGGACGTATGGCATTCACACCTTGCCAGTGTGTTTTGCGCCTCTGCTTCTTAGTCACTGTCTGGAATTCCACTGATGACTCATCAGCATAAAATATGTCCACACTGTTCATGATGCTTGTTGGATCAATAACAGAAAGTGGGGACTTGTGCACCTCTGGCTCAGGCTTGCTGGTGATGTCTCCAAGACTGTTTGATCGCTTCAGTGTACTGGTAGTCTTTGGATCATCATTGTCATCACTTCCACTTTCACTCTTCTCATCACTTTTTTTCATAGACATGTCCTTAGGGCTGGTCCTCTTCTTGTTCAGGACCTTCATGTTAGATGCTTTCTTCCCATTGGGTGTCATGGAGGTTGAAGACTCGATGAAACGCACCTGCTCTTCTATGTCCTCTCTCCACCGATGACCTGAGATCTCCTCTGATTTGGTTTCATTTGCAACACCCTTCTCCTTTTGCTGTAAGTTAAAGTTAAAACATTTTGGGTGATAGCAACAAAAAGTTAAGAGCCAAAGAGGAGAAAGTAAAAACCATAAGGGACCAACCCTATTTTTGCGCTTCTTCCCATTCTTACGGTCATGGAAGCCAAGCCCAGACCCAGAGTTTTCAGCAGACACCTGGTCTCCAAATGCATCAGAGAATGCAGTATTGCTGGGGAGAGGTGTCATGGACATGGGATTCCCATTCTCATCCAGATTAGATTTCTACACAGATGGAGACAAACCATAACAAATTATACTTAAATAACCATAATTATACCAAAAATATTTTACACATAAATTCCTTTATTCCCAATTTGAGTACTTTAAATGTCAATATTAATCTGGGAGGGAGAAAACTTGAGAAGTTACTTTACTTTACATCCTGTCACTCCTGAATACCTTTCCAGTCCCTGATTTATATCTTGATTTCTGATAATGCTCCAACCATTCTTGAACCACTGCAGTCCTACTGCCAAAATAGTCATGCCTTTCAGTCCTGCTCCCTCCTGTTCCCAAAGAAGATGTCACTCTTGTCCCACCCTACTTCAAGGAAGGGAAACAAGACTTCCTTTCCCTCTGCACTCAACCTCTTTAACCCTTTAACTTGCACTCAGAAATAATTGCAATAAGCATTTTTTAAATTGCAGATTTGAAATCCTTATCACATAACAATCTTAGTAATTCACTTGATAATTAGATAGCCATTTAGCTGTTTTCAATATTCATATATACAATTTACATTTTTTTACATTCTAACATTTAGATGTTTGGACATGTGAAGATGTACAAATATGTGTTGGTTGAGCTTGCTTAAAACTTGAAGATTTATAATCCTGCAAACAATATTTTTTACCTTGCAAATAAATAGAGAAAGGTGAGAGAAAAGTGGGCAGAGTATCAAATATACAACCCGTAACAATGTAGTAGCACCAGGAACTAGTGGGTTTACATGAACTCTGACTTCATTTAATGACAGTTTTAGTAACTATGATAGTTCAAGAAATGTTTAGTCAGCCACATATAGGCAGATATTGATTTCCTCTTATTTTTAAATGATATTCCCCAACTTATATCTTTCTGATAAATTTATTTAGGCATGCGAAACACACCTTGGTTTATGTGGGAATGTGATGCATACAGAGATACATTTATTAATTCTCATTTTTCTCATTTCATGCATACCTCATTCCTGCATCCCTTAACAGTTCTACAGGTGAAGCTACCAGGTCTATGCTACATTTTTCAGAAGGCTGAAACCCAAGGTGTAGTTTGTTCCCTCCCAAAAAATGCAGTAGTCACTCCAGGACGACAGGTCAAAAGGGGGGAAAGGTCACTAAATTTTCATAAACCAACTTGTGATGTTTAAGTAGTTTATGGGGGGGTGGAGAAGAGACATTTGTGGAAGGACAGGGTTGTCATATATTCAAATCTTGCAATTTCCTTATACATTAATTCAGAAAAACTTTTTTCCATTTTAGACACTTTTTAAACTGTATTCCATTGGACATAAAAAATATTAATCAGATTCCTGGAGGATTCTTAGTTTGACCATAAAATATGAGTAAAATGTAAGAAATCATTGCAATGCAAGAATAAGGAATGGTATGCACCACATGTTTGAAAAGAAAGAGGTAGATGTGATTCAAAAAATATATCAAAACCAGCAGAACAATTTGTCTCACACAACACTGACCTGTCATTCTATCGACTTTACCCCAACTGATGAGGTCCCATTTCTGGCACCTTGTTTAATCCCCCTTCCTCCTCTGTCTGCTCCCTTCTCTGACCTCATTCATCAATTCTTTAGTTGAGCAACAAGTGCATTTTTCAAAACAGGGAATGAGCTATATATCACCTCTTGTCTTAATTGCTTTTAATTTAGGATGTCATGAGCCTGACAAAATGATGGAAAAGGCTACAAAAGCCCAACCAGGAAATTGAGCACACAGTTGGACAAGTATAGTTTTCCTTTTGGATTTTCTTGACTGCATTGCAGAACTTGATGCAACAACATAATGGCAACTTTCGTTATAGATTCTAAACAGTACTATGTAGTGCAATTGTGCTGAGAGTGTCAGAAGTTGGAACTACCATGAATAAGCAGTTTTAAAACAGGCAGCTGGTGAACATTCTATTACTTAACATAAGCACTAACTTCCTACTTGTTAACCATCAAACTGGAGCAATCATCCTTGCAATGTATTTCTAGATATTGTATATTATGAATGGAGAATGGCATTCTCCTAGATGATTATGAACTGGTTAACCTTCTGAGCCAAAAATTACTGAAAATTACTAGTTGAGATTCATATATTTTGTTTCTGTAATCAGCTGTAACATCAAACCTAAGGTGTTCCTTTCCACTAGATACGAGCATCAACCAAGTGACTACCATGGTTTCAGTGTGAAACCACCTTTCCAGAGCAATGCTACATGTGCTATGAAAAGTGGTTACACTACAAAGCCACTAACCCAAGGGGATAAGCAGCAAAATTTAAAAAGGTTTAAGACAAAAATACCTTTAACAAAAACAGTTCTCCACTTAAGCCATAGAAAGCAACAGAACTCATCAGTCTCCAAAAATATAAATCAAACATAGCTTTATCAGGAGAGTGGAAAGGCATGACCAGGAATAGAAAAGTAAATGCCATTGCAACAATTGTAAAATTTACATTTGTTTTACATTGATTTGTTTCCAAATCTTGCTTTTCACACAACACAATATAGCTAGTTTCCATCATGACCAAGGAAGTTTCTCTCTATTGAACTTGTCTCAAAGCATTGCTGCAAATACTACTACTTGCTATAAATATATAATATGCATTTGAAAATGTGCCCACTACTTAAAACAAGACAGAGAAGAGGTTCAATAATAAAAACACAAGATGAACATAAAATGTTTTTGAACAATTCAATTACACATGCAGATGACAGGAGATTCAACTTGAACAATATTCATGTTCTTGTGACTTTTTGGTCTTCAACCGTTACTTGAGCAATCTTTCTTCATTCTGTATTAGAGTCTGTGGTATTTAGTAATGGTGCTTGAGGCTTCTTACCAACTCATGATAATGCTATCATTTAGGGCATGCATATCACACTGTGTTGCAATGTATACTGATGTCATGATAAAATAATAGTTCTTCACTGACTTTGACACAATTGGCTGCAGGCTAGTTATAACATTTCATAAACCATTCATAGACCATACAACTTTTACAAATAACCAATCCATCTGACACTTAAGACTTCCTGACATTCATTACCATTTGGAATGATGATAGCCAGCACAAAATGGTTTATGGACATCTTCATGGATCAACCTGGAGCCTTGGATCTTCTCTGTGCAAGTTTTGTTCAAATAAGTAAATGCTTCACTTCTCTCCCCCCAACTATTGAGAGTCAGAGGCAGTTGATATCAAGCCTGAGAGTGCTACCGCTACCATAACTGGACCATACTATTCTGTCACTGTTCTCCCTCGAGTCTTAAAATAAATTAAGAAGCAGCACCAGAAGACAGGGCTTGGCCAAGTGTGGCTATATCATGACAATGTCTCTCCCCACAAAACTTGGATAACTCAAGCATTTTTAGAGCAAGGAAATGTATCAGTACTTCCCCATCTGCCCTTTTCTCCTATCTTATAATCCCTGGACTTCTGGCTCTTCCCAACCCTCAAGGAATGCCTATCAGATAGGATATTCCTTTGTGTTTATGGTCTTGGAAAGTCTGTGCAAGAGATTTTTCAGAGGATGGCTTGGCACAAAGTGCCTATGCAGCAGCTGTTTAAAACGGGATGAAAAGATTGGATAAGTGTATCTCACTAGGCAGTTAATATGTAGAAGGATGCCTGATGAAAATATTTCGTTTTAGCTGAAATATAGCAGCTTTTTGATTGTGTGCATTACTTTTTTAAAATCCCTAATAAGCATTGCCATGAGTTGGCAAAGTGCCTCAATAGCTCCAATATGACATATCTCTATAATTAGTGACATCCTATTAGGAAAATCATTGCTCAGAGAATTATCATGCCTTTTTTGTTGTCATTTCTCAACTTTCATTCACATATTCACAAATGTAGCCACATTAAAATGAATACCATCAACAACTCACCTCTGAGTGGTCCCGTGCTGAATTGATCTGTCGGCCCTGGATGGAATCCTGATCGTTACCTAGGACCGGAAAGACAAAGAATACTAAAAGGAGGGGACAGGAAGAAAGTTGTTGAGGTGTGAGGGGAAAAAGAGGAGCCATGTGGTTCGTGTGTGGATGGTTTCATGGATGGAAAGAGAAAGAAAGGAAAGGAGGGAAAGAAAGAAAGCAAGCAAAACTCAAGGTTACTCAACTAAGCTACAGGGTAAGAAAAACACAACCCAAGCTTGCACACAAAAAAGACAAGCACATAAAACTGACGCAAAAAATGAAGTTCAAATAACAAACTAAAATTGTTAGCAATCTTGAAAGATACAAAAAAATCATAAAAGAGGACTGACAGAATGTCATATTCTTCCTTCAAATTCTCTTACATTCTTTAGGGCTGACCAGTTTAGTTCATTAAAAGTTATTTCACTTCAACTCCACTCAAAGGGGAATTAAACCCATTAAAAGCCTTAATCACAAGTTAACCTTTTCAATAGGTAAGTACACAGGCCAAATATGAGAGTTTTAAAATCAAATTCATCTTTCACTCATTTAAAACCCAAATTACTTCGGTATCATGAAGCAGACTGTACCCCATAGGAGGATGAAACATAGCTCCAGAATAAAATGCTGCATTTCTAATGCAGCAGGGGTTTGTTGCGATCTTGTAAGTTCTAAGAGATTGCTCATTATTGGCACCAAAATAATGATACACATTGCACTGCTTTGTCAGATTGTATCATGATGGTTTCCTAGACTAAAAAAAGTCTGCATTCTTACAACAGGGATAGACCTAAATTTTGAAAGTGTGTACACACCCCAAGAGGCATTCCCCGGAGAAAGGAGTTGGCCCAACAAATAATGCATTTGACCCCCAGACCAAATACAATGACTCACATAACATTTCAAAGGATGTCCTTTTGCTGAAAAATGAAGTAAAATTTAAATTCTAATTTGAAGGGCTTGAAAAAGGTTGATAAGGTTGATTAGGTTAGGTTAAGTTGGTTTAGTTTTGACAAAATTAGCATTTCTTCAGAAAACTTGCTTTTAACCCCTAAGAGAGAATGACATATACAGGGTGTTTCAAAAGTCCATACTCATGGGTATTTTGAATTAATTAATTTCTCAATGAATGAGTGTACCAAAATTAGTAGAAAAGTACTAAGAAATATTCAGAGGGAATTATGTGCCAGGATTGATATGTGTATGCAAGTTCATGGCATGCAATTAGAACATTTAATGAAATAAAGGTAAATTAGGAAATCTGCCTATGAGTCCGGACTTTCGAAACACCCTGTATATACATCATGGTGAAACACTCTCCAGGAAGGTTTGACATATTTTGTCACCCTGCTATATTTTGAGTTTGAGTTAAATATTAATTTGAAACCCAAAATAGCAGTATAAACTAAAAAAAGAGCAGTAAATTTCTTGCATAAACACCAATTATTACTCTCACAAAGAAAAGTTCTGACTGCAGTGGTAGACTTCTCTCTGAGAAATTTCCCACTTAAGGGGTTCACTCTTTGGAATGAAAACAAAAGCATCAGGATAAGAAAAAATAACAATTTAGAGTAAAAACTAAGGCCTGAATGCTGAAACCTCTTGTAGTTTAGGGTACTTTAAGAATACATGGATTCCTAGGGAGAAAAAAAGAGCTCTTTAGCTTATACACCTCTTTATCTACCCTAAAGGAGGTTTGTGCATCAGAGCCTTAGCTTCTGAAAAATCCTCCCTACTGGTACCACAAATAAATTTTTAAATAGGAAGTTTAGGTTGACTGAATGATTTTCTACTATGTAATAGTAATTTGACTTACTTCACCTAAATTGGTGTTATTCTTTGTTTAATGGAGATAAGGAAATCAGTTGCATTTCAATTTGTGAAAATAATCAAACCTAACCATATGTTTTTGAGGCCCTTCAAATTTGGAGGAAAAAAAAACAACTAATTTTTTCCATTTTGGATACAGACACCATCAAAAGACTCAAAATACATATTTCATCAAAAACTGGGCAAACTTAACCAAACCTAACTTTGCAAAATTGTTCAGATTTTAATCAAATTAATTTCTTTGTTTGGTTATGAAAACCTTTGAAATAATATGAGTAACATGAGAATTGGATTATGGGTAAAAACTGGGCAAAATCCTTAGCACTTCAATGGTAAAAAATACTGAATTCCTAGATTAGCTTGTAGACCCTGACATGGATCTGTGTGAGAACAATGATGATATGTTGAGCCAATGAATATTGACAAAGCTGTTGATCACATGAGGATTGTTTGGCCTTATGTAAACTTCTTTCAAGGAATTCCATGTATTGTCAGTCTAATGACAGTGACAAGGCATAGCAACAATGCCAAACAAGATCCTTGATTGTTGGCTTCCATAGGCTTGTTTTATTCCCACAAAATTCAAGTTGCCAATAACAATCCTCCCCATCCCCTCACCTCGAGGCCTCTCGCAACCCACAGTTTGGGAACCACTGGTTTAAAGGCTATTGCAGCATTTCTATGATGCTCCTAATCTTACCTTGTAGAGTATATTTTTTACTCTGTGACATGATTTGTTTTCTGCTTGGATCTGTCCGAATCTTTTTCTCTCCTACTCCCCATTTTTTTCTAAAAGCCGGAAGTCAAGATGCTTCAGAGTGCCACTTACTGAAGACCTGAATCCCCTTAATCTCCTAGCAATTGGACAAGCATGAGATGTAACAGCATAAATACATGTCTGCATTCTGACAATGGACGGTTTGGATAATTGAGAAGCTTGACACAACTTTTACTCATACACTCATGCAGAAAGGATCCCCATATACTTTCTGCCAGTTCATACAGATCTACCCTTTCCTGGATGATGGTTTCCACATCTCAATGTCCACAACAAGGGCATGCCCTGAACACATGGGAAAAATGTTGAGAGGGAGGGAAAAAAGGAAATATGAGAACCAAGGACAGTTCCATGCTCCTTCTTCCACATGTTGATGGATGTGTGCAAACCAGTCAACACATTTAGAGCTGAATTGTTCATACCAGAAATCTCACAGCGCACAATGAGACTCTGAGCATTTTAAAAGTGTGAAATACGCAAGTGTTTCCTTTTCTCTTTCTGCTGCCTGGAGAGTGAAAAGGACAGACTGCAAGTATTCTCCCAACACCCTTGGCCCCATCATGTCCTTTGCCAAAAGATCTTTCCATTCAGGCAAACCAGATTCTGTCCTAGCATTGGGCCTGATTGAGCAAGACAGCAATGACTGCTCAGAATGAACGTAAATGATATAAATTATCTTTCATTTCCCCCATCCATAAAATAAATTACAGGCTTGATAAAATGATTAATTGACTCAAGATTTATAATTATTAAACTTGCTATCTTCTTTCAATTCAGTGGATGTGAGAATTAATAATTTGATAAAATCAATCTGTGAAAAAGTACATGATGCTGAGTTTCATCAGTTTGTACCAAGCTGGAAGGCCACAATGAACTCAAAATGTTCACATTTCAATCATAACAGATTTACAAAGGAAGTCCTAGCAGACAAACCATCTGACCAACTGATCAATGGCACTCATCAACACAGTTCATGGAACCATCGACATGTGGAGCAATTGAAAAGAGCTGCATCATTACTCATGTCTCACTCAATTCCCACTGAGCTTAGGTTGCTGAAACACAGTCCCAAATTTTGACAAGTAACTGCATGAAACTCAAAATTTGAGCTTTAAGGTTCTTTGGATTTTTGACAATTAGTTTCACTAACTCACAGGTTTATGCTTATAAAAAAGACAATCCCACTTCAAATTTCAAAATACTCCAGCTATATTATGAAGATATCATACACCATTTAAATGCAAAATACCACTCAAGTATCATGAACCCTGTCTTGCCACGAACAATGGATTGCTCAGATTTTTGTTCCACCACAAGCATGACAACAATTTAGAAAGCTTTTTCCTAACCTGAGAAAATGGCTAAAACTCATAAATAAAAGCTCAGCAGTGAAAGATACATTTACCCAAATGCAGCACCTTGCAAAGTTTTAGAAATGTAGTTGGTCTTACAAGAACTCACATTAACCAGGGATAGAAATAGCTCAGCCCTGAAATACTTTTAAATACTAACATTCACCATCCTGAAAATATTTTTTCTTGCCATGCCCTCCCTATAAATGAAAATTCAGCTCCTGCAGAGACAGATCTATGTGAAAGGCACATCTAAAGTATCATAATGGGTGATGTAAACTTGCACAGGAGGGAGAGGAAGAAGATATTCTATTTTTACTGTTCACTCACTAGATCTAAACCACAATACTTATTTACCACTGGCAGGAACTTTACAGGTCTGAAATAGCTCCTTCCAAAAAAACCTTAGTCTAACATTTTGGATTAATGCTGAACCAGGGTAGCTAAGCAAAACATCTGCAAACCAAGCACACTCCACTCTGCACCCGAAAGCAAGCCAGCAAAGAGACATTAAAAATAAGACTATGCAAGAGCATTCCATTAGTTAAGACTTTCTTCAAATTGATTAAAAGTAATATGGCTACACTCACAGCAAGGAGAAATTGAATTGCTGTGACAAAGCATGTAAGCCTAATTAATAGAATTAAGTATGCTACTGATACAAAAGAGAGCTCACATTTGGGTGAAGTGGAATCACTAAGAAAAGGCTTGACGCTCTGATAGTCAGTACTGCGCATATTTGATACTTGGGAGTTGACATGGGTCACAGCACCAACAGTTTCCTGTAACTCCATTGATGACTTTGGCATCCCCTGTAAGAAGCATCCAACAGTTCATCAAGCTCACTTCAACTCAGCAATTCAATTCAAGTTTATTGGTTGACTCAATCGATGTAAATTGGCTTTAGGGACAAAGACGTGAGAAGTAACGAGATCTCAGCAAGATAACCATAAAAGGAATGTATAGATGATGCCAACAGCCACTGAGATTAAACTTGTCCACTGCATATTGACCATATAGTTTTTCTCAATACACATACATTCTGTCCACATCTAAGCAGAAAGTTGTCAAAGGTCTGTGATAACATGCTATCTGTAAAATTCTATGCATTTTTATACATATTTGAGAATCCAACAATAAGTCCATCAGCCCTGTTGATAAATACATAGCTTCTTCTTCTTCAATGATTCTCCAGTGGAAGAGTAGCAAATGAACACGTGATGGAGCTTGCTCTGGTGTCCAGGGGAATAAATAACAGAATTGAAGATTGTTGAAATTGTTTGGAACAACCAGTGGTTTTCAAATTGATATATGAGGATGATTAGAAAGTAACAAGCCAAGGCCTGTGGTTCTGAAGTTGGGCCTTGTCTTGTTACTTTCTAATCACCCCATATACAGTATTGAATGCAAATGACAAAAAAGCACCCTGGAGCACTGTGATCATCAGTGCATCATCTAATGAAATAGGTTAAGTCATTTTTACTCTGTGACACAGCATTTTGGATATCAAATAATTTTTAGTGTTGTGTTCATAAATTAATGCTAGTGAATTCCTGACTGAAGTGCAGGTGAAAAGCTAAGCATTTTCAGTCATGAACAATTGTACAAAATTATGCCAACAAAAGAACTGACATTTCCAACACCTCCTTTAAGATTATGTGAATAATGTTAAACAAGCAATTCTGTAAAATATGAAACATAAAAAATAAGCACTAAAAACACAAAAACAGGTAGTCTGCATCATCAGAATTACTTCTGGAGGACACTTTGGTGCATAATTATATCCCCACCATAGCTATATTAAGCCAGTACCAATTCCTGTGTGTAGGGATCAATTTAAATAATAAAATCAGATCTGTGTATGGAAACTATGAACTTTTACATGATTTGCTTGTGTTTTGGAATAAGAAATAGTTTAGCAGTACTGTTCTGTAATTTTCTAACCCATTTGCTTCTTTGTGGAAAGTTACAGCGCTCTCATAGGATGCTGCAATGGTACAAAAGGAAAATGCTTATTTTAAATTGTTTTTAAGTGAAACTTTTTGTCACTAAAGTGATATATTACATGAGTGAAAAGTTCCACTGTATTTTTCATTCAGCAGTGAGACAGTCATACAGCTGCAGAGTCTTAATATTGTTTTTGGTCTACATACAGAAACACAGGAGGGAAAGTATGTTATCTATATAAAAGTGCATTAATTCAATAATATCAACCAAAAATTGTATTTATTCACAATATATAAAGATATCCCAGCTGAGAGCAGTAGTGCATTAATTATTACATGATAAAAGAACAGCAGGATAAAGGTCATCAGTATCAAATTATAACAGCAATCACAGGGGATGAAAATATTCACAGCAAAAATTCTGCAACATTACACGCACTTTCCTAACTCATGCTCCTTTTAAATTCCAATACGTATAATATTTCACACCCAGCATCAGCACTAGTGTTGCTATTGATGCTTGGTTGGCTCTCCAAGCTCTTGATACCATATAGTATTTGTCTATTGCCTGGTGCCAAACACAGACTCAAATTTAATGCAAAAATTGCATCCAAACCTGAGACAGTATATGTCTAAATGCCATACAGCAATGCTGTGAGAATGCTGCACAAAAATTCATGGATGTTTGTTCACTTGTATGGATACAAGGCCTAAAAGACCTAACCCTTTGTGGTCCTGTGTCTCACTGGGTGGGCCATTACAAAATTCCTGTTCCAGTCTTATGCTCTTATGCTTGTTCTGCTTTCAAGAAGAATATCAAATTTTGTTCCAATTAAAAATGATACCACTCTCTCCAAGATTTTTTATATAATAATCTATATGAAAAGATTCATCACAGAATGACAAAGGAGGAAAAAAATCACTGACAGCAGAAGTGAGCAATATGAGATACCTATTGATGAGAAAAATGAACCGTTTTCACCAGAAACTGAAATTGGAAAATTGAACTCCTATTGAAAATGCCTCCCAAGAAGGGCTGGAACCAAAATTGGAAAAAATACATATGATGTAAACAGGATGTTTACTAATGACATGAAGCATCCTAGTCTCCCACTAACACCTATTTCATTGGATATTTAATGGAAGATGTCCATTACATATAGAAACACACACTAGTCAGACACTTTCACACATCTTCACGAAGAGCAGGTTCCATAAGGAAGACAGACACTTCACAGATTTGTGATACACTATCAATAAGTCACTGCTTCTCATCAAAGCCCTTCAGTCAGAGATCCCACTTTCTCAAGATCAATGGACTTGTGTATAAATTCATCCAAGCATTATACTCTGAAATTATCCCTACTTAAACAGATGGTTGGTTGTCTTTAGAAGATTTAGCACAAAAAGAATTTGTCACATTTGCATAATGTTAAGACACTCACTCTTCAAGCATCTCTCTTTTATGTGAGACAGAAGCAATTCAAAGTTAAAGGCTAATAACCTATATGCCCAACAAACCAGATTAACAATGTCTCTTGACAAAAACAATGCAGACATCTTTCCCACTCACACAACACCAAAGAGAAAGCTCCAACAATTTTTTAAAAGAAAATTGAAATATCTTATTGAGCCAAGCGAATTCACCAAGCCTATCAAGGAGAAACCTCTCATCGAAACAGAAGCTATCATTCTGATTTATGATGAACAGATTTAGTTCGCTAGTTCAAAATGGCCAGAGGTGAGGTTAAGGACCTTATCTCCAGAGGAGACAATCATATTTGCAGTGTTGCTAGTGTATTTGGGTAGATCACAGCAATACCCAATTCAAAATATGTAACTATTTATGAAACTGAATTTCTCATCTATCCTAATGACTTCATGCAACTTATTTTCAAAGCATATGAGGAGAGTTATGAAAAATAGCAAATGGAAATCTCTTTTCAATATTGTCATGAGAATATGAAATTCCTTCTATCCTCATTTGTTAGCTATTAGCAAGCAGATGAAAATTTCATTTGATTTTATTTTCTCAAATATTTTTTGTCATAGGATCAATCACAGCCAAACAGGATCAAGCACAACAGCGCAATATTTGTAGACTCCTCCAATTTCAAAGTGTACAACTCACTTAAGCACCAAATGAATTAAAAGAGGGAAAAAAATATGAGAAAATTTAGCTTACCAGAGGGAGATCCAAGCTGTCATCCACCTGAGTCTTCTCACAATCATTTACAAGCTTCTGATAAGGGACTTTAGAATCCCCCAAGAGTGGCTTCCCTTCTCCAGGTTCATGTTCACAGTTTGCATATGAGCGGCTGGCATTGCTTAAGTCTCGCAGTTCATTGATGTCCCGAGGCACTGCATCTACAGTGTACCTGCCTGCCATTTCACATTCACTAAGTTCCTTTACACACCCACAGTCCTCAGAGTTCACAGACCCATAATACCGGTTACAAACACCTGAGTCAGCATCCTCCCCCATGTCAATTGTCACACTTTCACTTGGCCTTGCTTTGCCAAACTCAACTGAACTTGTGCTGCCTGATTTTTTCAGCCGTGCACTTCTCCCCTGACTCACATCTTGGAGTGAACCACCTGGTTTTGTCCGTGTAGAAACACACGGTGGTGAAGCTTCAGACTTCTTTTTCTTTTCCTTGGATTTGTCCTTGGGAGTCACCTCCTCTTGACGAATGTCCTCAAGAGAACCACCATGACCCCGTTCTGATACATGCCCCCTCCCCTTTTTGCTCTTGCGGCGCTTCCCATGAGTCTCATTCTCAGAGATCTCAGTCAGATTCTCCAAAGAGCCAGAGTGACCTGCTTGGCCCCGCTTTCGACGCTTTTTCCCAGTCCCAGGCACACAAGTCTCAAATGAGGCCTTGGATAAGTTTCCACAAGAGCCACCTGAAAGCAAAAGACAAGAAGTACCTTCAGAACTGGTCAACCTTGAGGATACACAGTTTTACTAAGACTTCATTGCCAATCTCGTTTTGCATTATATCTGTGATCTCTCAACAATGATCAGTGTAATGATAATATAAACACAAAAAAAAGACAAGCTTGAGGCTCTACTAAAACTTGGGAATGAACATAAAGAAAAATGACTTCATCTGTACCCTACAATGATTTTGGTTTGACCTTCACTGCCACTTACATAACTGCATACTGCAATGACATCTAGCAATGAGTTAAAGTTATGGATGGCAAGTGACTACCACTACACTCCCATTGCTGTATAGGCAATGCAACAGCACCCAGTGCTTCTAAATAGCTAAGTTAGAGGACAATTAGGCTTCTCTTAAGGCCAGAAGGCATTTTTTTAATTACCAATGTAACTCCGAGTGCATTAAATCCAAACTCAATATAGCCCTGAACTTGTCAGCTTAATGCTTTTGACTCTTAACTTTTGACTTTTAACTTTGGAAGTGTTGAGTCAACTCTGGCTGGTGATAGGCTCTTCTCTGCTGAGATTTGACCAGCCTGCTTTCTGAGGAGTAGCTATGGTAATGGCAATACACATGTAGCATGCCTTAAAACTCACCATTGGTAGTTTCCTCTTGACTACAGTGAGCTAGTATAGGAGGGAAACTACCAATCTGAGAACTATCTCTGCACCCAAAGCACATGGATGAGATCATCTTTGTTATGACCACCAGCTAATCAATTCCAGAGAGTTAATACATTTCCCTCAGCTTCTGGCATGCATCAAAGTTCAGATGACAAAACTAAAGAGCTGATTTCCTGTGAAGGGATCACAACAGGCATTGAGATAAATCACTACTACTTCTAAATTCACCTTATGCAATCATGTTGCTCATGATGTGCCAGTACCCTTGAGATCATTATGGACTCTTGTCTCAACTGATGAGAGCAGGGGACAAAATCTATCCAAAATGCAATACCATACTTGAGCTATACAAGTTCTATCAACAACTGCCAACAGAGATCCTACAGGGGGCACTGAAAAGAAAAACATTTATTGTCCTTTACTGTTCTGTATGATCCTCATACTCTACATGAGGTGGACTTGATGATAAACCTTTCCAAAAAAAAACCTGAGTGATGGAAGCAAGGAAAGGAGGAGTTTGCCCAACAGATCCCAGGCCCTAAGGCAGCCTGACCCTTATTGGTTCCCATCTCACACATTCCCTGTGACCCTGTCACATTCCCCTTCTTGCTAAGACAAATTCAATCATAAAATGAGGGCCATCCATAGCACTGCCTTGAATACTGCTCAGGATTCAGAGTGATCTCTTTCCCTGCCAGGAATACAAAACCGCTCAGGTTTTTATTGGATGGTATATTTTGCCTCATTAACTCTCTTCATCCACACGGTTCTTCCACTTGAGAGACATGGTATCAGAAATCCCTAAACACAGCCTTGTCTTCCAGGCTGTCTAATAAAGGTATTATGTTAGGTGTGGAATAGCTGGTGCAGGAAGGGGAAGTAGCACAGCAACTTCCCACCTAGCTAGGAAACTCATTTCCTTGTTGACCTGGCTTCTGACTTCCTTATATAATTTCCCTAGCAACTCATCAATTTTTCATTTTCAGGATTCTTCAGGGTTATTTTGAAAATTTTGTTACTCCTTGGGCACCAATAAAATGAGACATTTATTCAATAATTGATTTCAGGGTCTAAAGGGTGATCAACTTGTAAAGCTGATTGATAAATGGCAGTACCACCATCATCTTCAATGAACATTACATGAACAGTCAACAGGAAAATATTATGGCATTGGCTAATGAGGTAAACAGTACACTAGGAGTAATCAATTGCTAACATTCCCTACTATGATCAAGCTCATTGAATACTATAAAAGTGGTAGGAATGCTAAGGTTGAGTTGCAGGGGTACTGTCAGTATAGGTCAAGTGTAGCCTATGCACCAAGGAAGAAGTACAATACCTGGTGCAGAAATGCAGATGCACCAGGTCAGAAGCCAACATCCTAGAGTGTGGACAGCACGCATTAGCAGAGGAAATGGAATTTCTTCTGTTCAGGATGCAGAGGAATCATGTCCTCTGCATCATATTCTTGTCTAAATTGTCAAAGTAATTCCCATTGTAATGTGTGCCTCATGGGGCATTGCCACTGTTTTATACCATAAATTGGCCACATGATATGCACACAAGGCAATGGTGGCATCTTTACTCCCCCATGGTTTCATCACCAGATGCAGGAAGCACAAGAACCCATTACGTCACCATCTCCCATGTTTTCAATAATTCCACCTTATGGCTCAAGTTGGGGATAGCTCATTCATCAGTCAACTTAACTATTGAATCAAGCAGTACCTAAAGGGTTAATGATAAATATGAAAAAAGTGAGATCCCAAGCTGTAAGTGAGCAAGATGGTTGGATCCAGGAGTGATTGATTGTGTGCTGGAAAGAATGAAATAGTAGAGGTAATAAACCATAGTGACTCTGAGACAATATGACTTTCCATGTCAACCCTTGCTTCCAAGTATACCACACCCTAAAGCACTATGAAGGTGGATGCAACTTTAAACCGCTCACACTTGAAGGGACTTCATCTAATACAGCCAATTTTTTTGCCTAAACATTGAGCACACCACAAAAAAACCTCGGCCAGGAGGTATGGCCATGCATAGAAAACTCCATACCAAAAGGGAACATTGAAGAACCCTGTTAGAGAAGGTTGAACCTTGGTGGCTTATCTCGATTAACTGCTTAGCCCAAATTGAACTGATGGTATAGGAAGGGGCAGGGCCAGATTAAGGGGGGGGGGGGGGCAAAGGGGGCAGTTGCCCTGGGCCGCACTCTTCCAGGGGGCCCCCCCAAAGGAAATGAAAAAAGATTAAGTTAAAAAAAAGTCACGCATTTGCATAAAGTAGCTTGGGGGGGGGGGGGGGCCCCAGGAATTCACTTGCCCCAGGCCTCACAACTTCTTAATCTGGCCCTGGGAGGGGGTGGTTAGCTCTTGAGTCATGGTGCAGTTATGGGCCAAGAGCCATCTTGCACCTCCCATTCTCAGCCCAAAGGCAAAAAATTGCTAACATTTTGCATAGCCTAATATCTTCTTGTTTGACGAAGACATATGATTAAGATATTTTCAATCTTCCTATGAGAAAAATGACTGAATATCCATTGCTCACTATGCATGCTTAGTGTTTGGCTTATGTCGGGTGTCCATTTGACATTGGTTTGACATTGACATCAGCCAGTCATATATCATATTGGGTTGATATATTGGTGTCATCCAATATTGGCTTCTACTGATAACATATCATTGCATCTGAAACAAAAATGTCCAGTTGCAAATTTAAAAAAAATTGTAATGTCAACTAAAAATCCAGATTCGTGAAGTTCTGTAAGTTGCAATATCAATATGGGGTGAATAAGAAGAAATGAAAGTAATAACATCAGAGTTTCTGTGTAGGTGCCTATCAGGTATTCATTTAGGGATCATCAGCTTCTTCACTTGCAACTCTTATCATAATTTAATTGAGAGCCGAAATATTAGTCACCTTGGACTACAAAAATTTCACTAGTACTTTGCTGCTAGGGAGCATATTCTTCACGGGTCAACAATTAAAGCCCATATTTGCCAAAAAATTGTGTTTGATAATGTTAGTTTCAGTAGCTCATACACTTGTATGTAAAAACCATATACTTCCATCAGGTACATACTCATATGTGCAGGAGCTCATCCCTCAAACCGGATGATTTTAAAAGGTAGAAAATATATGTTGCCTAGGTATGTTTAAGTATGAATAAGTCTGAAAATGATCATATACTATAACCATATATACTCTCATATATTTAGCTTTGTAAATAAATATTTACGGAAAAAATATAAATATATGGCATAGATAACTACATATAACTGCCATACATGATCATTCCGTATAGGTATGCTTCCAAGTGTGCCCATACAGAAGGGCAGAGAATGACTTAAACAATTCACTGCAGCCATAGATGAAACATACCCTCTCTGGTGCGTGTGGATATGCTCCCTGAGGTGATGGTAGTACTGGAGTGATTGGCCCCAGATTGTGGGGCATGTCCCTTCTTCTTCCTCCCGTTACCACCGGCTAGATCCTGAAGAGATCCACCAGCTGATTGACGAGCAGCAATGCTATTTGATGATGAACCACTCTCTTTTCGCTTCTTCTTCTTTCCCTCGCTTCGCTTGCTCTTCCCAATCTGACCAAAGATCTTCTCCTCTCCACTATCACTCTCCTCTGCCTGCTTTAGTAGCTCCTGTTTAGATCAAAAAAGGTTTGAGTGGTGTAATCTATCTTCTACTTTCTCCACATATGAGGGTGGTTAAAATTTGACTTAGACTTTCTTGTAGAGAGCACAGAAATGCCTGTGAATATATGTCATGTTTGAGAAGAAGTTAGTGTGGCATGTTGTAAACAAAGGCAGGCTGTCAGTGACCAGTATTGTGAGAGTATGGTAAATGGCATGGCCTAAATTGTCACACAATCTGGAACGTATCAAGTTCTTGGTGAATGAGAATGTGAGAGCTGCTGATACTTGTATATATATTTAGCAACACAGGTGTCAGGTGTATCTCTAATAGCTTCAAAAGTGTTTCAATGGTGCAAGGTGTTAAGATGGGCTGAGAAAGCATAACAAATGAGCTCCATCCCAGCTTGCCCAACAGCACCTATTAACCCTTTAACTCCAGAGTTTCCTAAGCTGTGTGCTTGTGTGTACTGGAGCCAGAATTAGACTGAAGATAGCTCACGGAGCTATCATGAGTATACTTGGACATGGGATAGGCCTTAAGAAGCTTGTTGCTCCCCCAGATACTGAGAATTATTTGTTTAAACTGTTTTCAGACTACTGCTAAGGGCAATCTAAGAAAGACGCAAACATATATATTTTTTAACTTGTTCTTTCAGCTTTAGAATGATAAATGTTTAGTTTTAAAAATTCTACAAAGTTGCATTGAAAAATAAACTTTGAATACACCCATGTTTTAGGTTACTGAAAAAGTTCCATACTTTTTAAACTTAATTTACTTATTTACAAAAATCTCCCTCTGATCCAGAATCTTCACATGAGGTCATAAATATAATCTGAATCACAATCAACATATTTCTTTGAAGCCTTCTTGCCATTCAATGAAAAACACACATGAAGTTAGCTGCATGTTCAGCTTCTGCTTCAATCAATTACAGTAAAAACTTGTTAACCTGAATCCTAGTAAGTCGAAATTTCGCCCATCTCAAAGTTCAATGTTTGACCCTGGCCAAATCCCATAAGACACCATGTTAAACATTCTGTTTAACTCAAATTCATTTCTCAAATTTCCAAATATCTCAAACAAAATTTTCACTCCCTATTGCGATTTTCTCATGGTTAACTTGAAATTGGGGTGTGAAGGGGGGAAAAATTAATGTGGGACGCATTGATTTGTTGAATAGATGAAAGGCAAGAAACTTGTTAGGGAGAAAATCCTTTTGTTTATTTTTTTTTCTCTCCTCCCTCACAGACACCTGTGGAGAGGGAGACACCTTTTCCACTCGAATTTTTTTTCATGTGTTTTCTCCGGTAGCTCGTATTTTTTACCACATAGGCTTCAGGCTGCTGAAATGGCTTTTCTTGGAGTCGTTGTCAGTTGTAGGAGCCTAGAGGAAGAGGAAAGGCCACCGGGCAAGGAATTGGTGAGGGGAGTGTTGGGTGGTGAGGACAGAAAATTCACCCCATTATATCCTTTAATGAGAGTAATTTTTTTTTTGGGGGTACAGGAAATTCCTGATAAGTTGAACTTAGGAAAACTTAAAACAATTTTCCCAATCCCAAATAGTTCAAGTTAATGAGTTTTTACTGTATATCAATTTGTATGAGTTGTGTTGATATCTGCTGAAAATTTTGTGAATCTCAAGACATGAATCTTCATGTTCTAGCAGACAGCACAAGTATACTTTCTGCAGGAGGAAATGTGGAAGTACAAAGCCAAGAATGTACAGGATACTGGCACCATCCACTTGGCAAAATTACGTTGCTTGTACCGTGTACGGGCATAGATTTGAATGTGTTAACATTCATATTATCCTGTTGCAATTGAATCTTCCAATTTTGGCAATTTGGCAGGCATACTAATAAATGCTCTGCCTTTTAGGAAACAGTATTTTCTTTTTAAAGAAAAACTTCCTTATATCTTTAAAATAAGTTTGCTTTTTTACCTTCAACATTTCAAAGGTTTTTAAAATACAAAATCTGAATCAAACTGGTTGTTTTTTTCTTCAGAGATTGACATACTCTATGCATCTGCAGCTGATGAGTACATTAAACAATTTTTTACTCAGGTACCTTTCTACTTGCTTCCTAAGGTCAAGAGGTACATCCCATCCAATGCTCAGGACAAATGGTACATAGCATACTTCTAAACTTGTAAGGTCATTCAGGTAAGTCTGAAAGTCAGGTTTTACATTAATGAATGACAAAACCATCCAATAGCAATTGTAATGAAGAAATTATGAGCTTACCATCATAAGGCAATTAGCTTCAGGGCATGACATTTTCATTCACTCACTTAAATTATGAGTTCAAAGCATTTGAAAAAGGAAAAGTGACTACATTCATTGATCATCAGGCAAACACAGCAGAGCCCAAGTGTAAGCAGTTAATAAGAGTCCACATCAAACTGAATGCATTTTCTACAAGCAAGATTTCTGCTAACAATCACATTCACCTCCCCACCTTGTAGTCAGTGGGCATATTTTAATTATGAGAATTGAAAAAAAAAAACCTGGTTACCCTTTTATTTACAGACAGGTTTTGCTTTATTATTGGATGCTCTCCCCATCACCAGCCTTCTGTTCCTTACTCTTGCTTTCCTCAATGACTAATTTTCTTTTAAGCCTAACAGCAACATAAACTACAATATCAAACTGATTGAAGTATTACACATGCCAAGACCACTCCTTATCTTATGGTGAATCTATATTAACCCATATCTGGGCAAAGTAAAAGATGAACATAACCAGGCAAGGTGGGTCCATTGGACCCCCATTACCTTAAGTATATAGTGGGGGTAAACAGAAGGCAAAAGTACACTTACCATGAAGCAACACCTTTATTTTATTGATTGCGATGAATTTCAAAATTAATGCGACATTAATTTGCATCCAAAAATTTTTTTAAATCTCAGATAAAATTTGGATAGTAAACCTGAAGTCTAAAAATGGGAACATTTCCTATTTTTTTTGTACTTGTTTCACTGTCTGAATTTCACTGTGATATTTTACTGCATTCTTACCTGTAATGTACCTCACTTTCATAGTTCCCCTCTTTCTCACCTGTGTTTTTTTTTAAACTGTGTTTTACCTGCACTTACATTTACCTTTCACCTGTAATTCACAATTTGTTACCTTCAGGGTACCTTTTACATCCTATTTGCCTTATTTTTTTTACACATGATATAATGTTTACCTTATATGATTGGAGTGGCATTAACCCTGATGTTATGAATAAAATAAGTTGATGCGGTCCCAGACAAAGAATAAAAGCTTAACTTCCAAGAAAGTCACATCATGAAATTGTTGCAAACATTTATTTATTATATTTATATTATGACATTATATATTATTTTATCAGCTTTGCTGTCTGATCATAAGTCTCAGAGTTCAGATTTCTGAACGCATTTTTGCATTATCCCATTCTTAGCTTCATAATAAAAAGCCTATAGACCAAGAGACAAACTTAGCCTAACGTGAAATAAAGCAAGTAACAACACAACATGAAGGAAAATTTTCAGATGGAGCTGAACCACTAACACTGGGTAAGACTGACATGATGTCATGACTATGCTCATGCCGAACCACATGGGGAATAATGTTATTCCAACACGTTCCACATGGATGAAAAAGACAAGTGCAAATGTGTTAGGGGCAACATTCTTTTGGGATTATGCAAATTTCACCTTAGTGACTCATCTCTTCGGTAGATCCTGCTCAGGGAGGAATCCTTCTCCATGAGCCTAAGATAAAATCAGGGATTCCCCTCTTTCCTTCTTTTTTCTCTCTTACTCTAGTTGTCAGAAGGCCCTTCAGGCAAACATTAGGTGATCAAGCTGTGAAATATGGAGGAATCAGGGGATAACATTTTGTATGTGAACTGGAACATGGATCCCCCTTGCCTAGTTATGTTACTCAAATCCAAAAATAATTTTTTCTTACATATAGAAAACTTTCAGGTTGGTGATGTTCAGGCATCAGGGTCTCCTTAACTTGAAGGACAAATACTAAAAATGACAGGAAAATGTCTGCAATGGTTTGAATGCCATTTTAAAAAATTGAGGCCTGGGGGTCCAACAGACCCCCCTTGCCTGGATAAGGGTTAAGTGCCAATTCAGAATTAAGCAAACTCCAACACACATTGAAGATATGGTGAATCCCATTGTATGAATTTGTCAGTGACTAATAGGCAATGTATTCTAGAGACAGGAAACTTCAACGAAGAAAGGATTAGCTGCCATTTAAGGAACAGTATTGACAATCGACTTTGAGTGAAGCTTGAAGGTTGAAGGTAAGATGAAAGCTTAAATAAGAATGATCGCACATTAGTGACATTTACTCATGGGCCAGGGTAACTTTTGGTATCCCCATGTACAGCAATAATGGAACTTCAAGGACTAGTTTTAAAGACAATGAAATTTACTTTGTCACGAAACCAAAATTGTATGATAAATCAAGAATTCTGATCATTCTGGGAAAGTTGATACATGTATAGCAAATTAAATACTACAGGTGATCACACTCAAATATCCTGTATTATTTCCCATAAAACAGTGGAATTTGTTTGGCCATAAAAGGAAAGACTGGAGTACTAAAAAAAAAAATAATGCAAACAGTACCTTAAAAAGGTCACTTTTGTGGTGGCGGTCACTGTGATTGCGATAAGAGTAAGCTTCCTCCAATAGGGACTTGAAGTTGTCGTTGTCTAAGTTGTCAAGGTTGGCTACATCCTTCACCAAGTGATCATTCTGTGCAAACAGAAAAGGTAGGACATGTAAATCTTTGCAAATGTGACATCATTCATGAATTAAGCTAATGTATAATGTATGGCTTAAGGGTATAGATGGAATGGATGACGGATCCCCTAAACCCATCAAGCAGGTACAACAGATATATCCATTATGATCAATTTCCCTGATATATCATGTCTGTTTTCTAAACTGTACTATATCATGTTCTGCACTGAATTTATACATGAAGATAAAGTAAAGGTGTTTGTATTCAGTTTTTCACATAAAACACGAAGGCCTGAATGTAAAAACCTCATTTAGGGAAAATAAAGGGGCCTTTAAGCTAAAGAGCTCTTTTTCTCCTACAGGGGTCCATGTATTCTTAAAGGAGAGTTAAAAAAAAGGAGGTTTCAGTATTCTGGCCTAAAGCTCCAAAACTATAGCAGCAATTCATTAATATTTACATGTTGTGAATTCCACCTTGCTCAGAAAATTATGCACTTAGATTAATTGTGATCTTATATGCTGTCCACCAATGAAGTTGAAACAAAGAATTTGAGCAAAGTTGAGGAAATTGGGTATTCAAATTCAAAAGTATGCCATTAAATTGATTAGAGTTTCATGGTAAGGATAGGAGGATTTCCAAAATGAAAATTCACCAAATGCTCCCAAGTAAAGGTCAGGAGGGGAGTCTGACTAATTACTTCAAAGAAGCACCAAGGAGTTAATTAAATGTGGAATAGGAACTCCCAATGTTGTCTAAGAATGAGTAAAAATTCAAAGTCATGGATGAGACAATTCAAAAGACTTCTGAATGCCTGAGTTACACAAGAAGAGGTTGACTCCACAAAAGATTTAAAATTTTATCTTTCTTTCTAGCCATTCTGCTGTTCTTGAGTGCTTGATTCATGAGGTGAAGAGAAGACTGTCTCCAAAATCAATTTCAAACTTATTTTAACATTTCATCAATATTGGCTAACTGATATGCATGTATCAGGATGATCCATAAGATATACTTGAAGCATACATCAACCCTATAGGGCATCCAGACATAGAGAACAGGTTAGAGACAAGAAGTCTCATTGCCATTGATTGTAATTTTCCCACATCTTTGTAAGTATGACAAGAAGAAAGAAAAACAAGACAGTTCATGGGGCACTAGTGTCCTCAGGCAGCCCAACTGACTTTCCCTGCCTCAAGAGCTTGTTAGCACTCAATTCACACTCTCCCTGATACCATAGAGTTGATGATATTATAACCCATCATTGAGCTCTGAAGACTGAGTTTGGAGACATAAGGTGACCTGCACCAGATCTGTTTAGCTTGAACTAATATCTGACCTCATAAAGGTCCCCTATGGGAATTGATTTGATGGAGTAAGGAAAATTACTGAGGGGGTAAGTCTATCTCCATTACTACCATTAGGCATAACAAAAAGCCCTATTGCAGCCGATACCATGTATTAAAGAGGCATTCAGTAATAAGAAACAGCATCTCAAAACACCTATCTCCTGATATCCTGGCCAATTCTTTATTTTTTTCACAATTTGCTTGACTGATATGTTGAATTACACCACAACTGAACAAGCATCACCATGAAGTTCAGTGATAATGGATTTTGGTAAATTAACTACTAGCAATGGGTGATATTTTCAAAGGGCTACTAACTTTAGTAGTGACAAGCATTTAGTAGCTACTAGCTAGTAGCTACTAAAAAAAAATTTATTTTCAAAGACCCACTAACTTCTGACTTGTTAGTAGCTACTTAGTAGCACTTGGGCTAGAAATAGATTTGGCAACACTGCAAGTGAAATTTTAAAGTGTCAGCAGAGAATGGTATCTTTTGGAGTTTTTTTTTTGTATGTCCAATGTATGCTAAGTGATTGAATAACAGAATAAGTATGACATATTTCAAGGTTCGGATAGAGATGTCAATAGGCATATTTTTCCTTTATGAAACCATGGTTGACCATTCATCTCCTTGCACTTAAGGAATAATGGGATGATTATGAGTGTTGCTAAACATCCAAGATTGGACAACTGGTGCATCAAAGAGAAGGAGCTCTTTCGGTCTTTGTGCATTGAGGCCTCTTCTCTCATAGAAAAAAGACATTCAAGCCAATACAAGGAAAATGATCACTTGAAGAAAGTTGTGCAAAGATTTCAACATTGTTTTGGCCAGAAGAGAGATATGAATTGCCACAAGGAGCAATGGCAACGAATGAAAGGTGATGCAAAGGAAAAGATCTTGAGGTACAGGAAATAAAGCAAGAAAACTGGTGGTGGGTCTCCACTTGAACCCCCATTAGAGGATAAGCAGAAATGGTGAATACCCCTGCCACATGAATTTGACAATCCGGTGAACATGTTTGATGATGATGTGATCATGGATGATCTTACCACCATTGATGAGCACAGAAAGAAATCAGTTTTTTTACTGGCAGGAAGAATGCTCCTGAAGCATTCTTGCACATGAATTTGTACAAGAGAGAGCACAAGTGTAGAATGGAAATGATGGAAGAAGAACATGGAAAGAAGATGAAAATTTTACATCTTGAAAAAAAGGACTGGGAACAAAAGATCATGGGGATGCAGACAGAGAACATTGGAAAATCTGCAAGCGTATTCAATCAGGACACTGCCAGTGAATCCTCTTTTTTTTTTTAGAACACATGGGGTTCCCATGGTACAAATATATTCTTGGCCTGTATTGATTTGATGGCTCATGTTTTGCATCAATCGCACATAAGATATCCATAACTGACAGACTGAGAATTAGTAGCCTTTTCAACAATCCCCCTACATCTACTAAAATTGTATTACACTTGTTTAGCAGCTACTAACAAGTTAGTAGCCCATTGAAAATATGACCCAGTATGTCATGAAACAGATCCCCTAAGTCCTTAACATTAGAGCATTTGGTTAACTTTTTCTGCGTAAGAATTACCCAACCCCCTTGAAACTCTAATTGATTCCACAACATGCAGCTGGAGTTTGTGTGCTGGATTTCATCAAAATTGCTCAACTCCTTCTTTGTACTGCAATTTCAATTGCAGCCATTATGGATATGAAATATTTATTGAGGCAATTCAATACTTTTACTCATCATGCAATGAATAAAAACAAATCCTAGCACAAGTGGGTAGACTTCTGTTCTCTATGTGAATAATCTTCTTCTATCAATATAAGCTTGGGGAAAATGCTCCTCTGGCTGAGAAGATGGCAAATCAGTGCAGGCCTACCTCATCTTTCATCCAACACTACATGCCCAATTACAGCATATCATTCAGTTTCAAAACTAAAGGTGTTTCTATAACCAAGAAAAATACCAAGAACAGAGCAAATTATTAATAATAAAACATCATGATTACATTATGTTCTTTCATTTCTTCAGTCCACAGCTGCCATAACAACCTCTTACTCAAATACTTAGTATGGGAAGAAACTAAAAACTTTTCCAAACATCACCCTATCATTGAAATTTATAGAAATTTTACAAAAAAGATCAAACTTTCTTCTTATTGCCACTATTCCACTAGTATGCCAGTAGCATAAAAGCTTATGATTTTCTTTCCTTTTCAGTCTGTCTGCAATTGCCATAGTAATATATTGTGTGGGGTGATAACATAGACTTCTACGTTATGGTATCATAATTATTGAAACTTCTAAGATGATACTTGGTGTATTTTTTATTTGGACTGGGATGGACACACAGACGAGGACAGACACAAGTGACTGAACACACAGAAGTAGAATGGTGATTCAAATCAAACATTCCCAACAGTATTGCCACATCTTTCTGTTACTGTGCATCCCATTTTCATGGACTCAAAGGTGAAAGCAACTTTAATTCTGCTCAGACACAAGGCCCTCCATCACTGTACATCAAGCTACCAGGACCAATGGAATGAGTGCCACTGAGGGGTACCAAATCCTCATCTGTTGAATAATGAAGCAAAGAGTGGACTCAGTTTTGAACCCCCAATGGAGAGCACACAGTACCCAAAAGCAGCGAGGAGAATCATTGGCTCAGGAGAATATTGCCTCTCATCAGCTGGATTCAAACATGGACCTCCCTCATGCAAGCCTGAAACCCTCTCCACTGAGCCACAAAGATGCAGTTCAAAATTTGTGTGGTAGCATCTAGTTGCAAAGTGGTGTCTATGGTTAGCAGTGGTATAGTGGCAAGTGCCTATAAGAAACCCCATAACAAAATATAACAGTCTAAGATCATAACTTACTGGCCATGTGATAATTACACCTCTTGCTGTTTTTTTTCCCCCAGATAAAATAGCCCCATTAAATCCAATGATTAAGAATAACATTGATAAGTTTGATAAGCCAGGAGGATCTCCTGATTTTGGACTGCTAGTTTTCTTATGGGGTTTCCTTAAAGAAAAGGTGTTCTCCACAAATCTACACATCATTGATAGACTCAAATGTTCTGGAGTTGAGTTATAGCACTCAGTGGCATAACACTCAAGACACTCAACAATGTTATTTAAAACACTGCTGTATGTTGCAGAGAGATTATCCAAAGGAATGGTGAATAGTTTGAACATATTTCACATACAATACGAGTTACTTCACATACAATACGAGTTACAATATGAGTTATTTCACATACAATAATACAATGAGTTTGTCTATCATATGACGAGGAATTTAATTTTCTAACATAATAAATAATGAAAACATAGGTCAATGAAATGTGAAACATTTTTTGTTGCCACCCTGTATAACACCCTGTATAACAATATTTTCCATCAAGAAAAAAATTTGCCCCAAGCTTAGTAGCAAAAGTTGCTTGCATACACTGTAGGGCCTACCTATGCACTCCTGGCCAGAGGTTGCTTCAACAATTATTAAATGAGAGTGCCTTCATGTCCATTGAAAAGTTTAAGTTCTATATAAAAGTCCAAAATATTTAAAACAACAGGACTGAGACAGCAGAAATTGCTGGTGGCAGCAGAACAGATGCAATAACAATCATAAATCAAACATGAGTCCAAATGCTA